CTTCCTTTTGAAATTCATTGGCTGTATCTTGCCATCCATCATCTATGATCAGGAATTTAGGGGATACCCCACCTTCTTTAAAACTGAAATACAAAGTCAAAGTTCATGTGATTGAGAAGACCTGTTTTAGTTTCGTTCAACTACAATGCAAACTTTTAATTTAGTTAAGGTTTCAATGTTAAACCTTTGAAGACCCTCTTTGATTCCGTTTGGATCAACTTCAGTGTAGAAAGCATCCCATGTACACCATCCAAACCAGTCTAAGTGAGCAGGGACCTGTCAATAGAAACATGATATATTTTTTAGTTCCAATATTCTAATATATAGTTGAATAAGTCGTGTGGTTTTGTTTGTGGGGTGAGGTGGGATGGGGTCAAGAATCATTTTTACCTTCTTGTTTTCAAGGTGAGAAAATGTACCCTTGAGCTTGGCTAATATCCTGCAGAAGTAGGATATTGGGAGCATCAAAATATGAAATTATATTACAACCTTCTTAATGGGTAAATAAATCCTATAGACAGTTGAAGAAGCATACTTAATTGAATCCTTGATCAGTTCAAATGGGTTGTCCCCTGAGTTAATGAAAACCCCTTCTAATGCTTGAGAGGTTTTGACATCAGGATCACCTTAAAAGTGTACAAAAATCAGACCCGGACATACCAGTTACAGTAAGACCAGACACGATTGCGTCGGGTCAAGGATTTTTGAAAAATGAAAAAGTTAACCAACCACTTTCATAGGAGAACTGAAGCTCATTTGATGGAGTCCCTTGCAATGTTGTCCTAAATAATCCATCAAGAATAGGCAATACAAGAATGTAAAATTTATTTTCTGAAGTATTTGCCTCTGCAGAAGTTTCATCATCTTCAAGTACTGAATCTTCTCCTGCTTCCAGGAGAAGCATTTGAGTCTCCATAGGTATATCACTTGCTGATTTTCCAACACGTGGAATCATCCACCAGATCTTGGCTATGAAAAGACACATGAACTTGTAATTCCTGAAAAGCGAATTAGTTGGGTCACCGAAGGGCAATCACTCGTTTCTTAAGCAAGCGTTTTTAAGACTTAGAGTCCGGGAAAAATAGTAGCAATGATAAGAAACACACTTACTCGAGAATTCCCAGATTAAAAACATGCTCAGAACTCGAAATTGTCGAGCTTGCTCCAAGAAAAGCAGCCTTTGACCCCACTGGAGAAGTGACAACATTTTCTGGGACTCCGGTCAAAACAACCTTGCCGCGCACCATGAGGCAGCCATTTTTTATAACTGGAACTGCATTTACTGTCATCTTTGCCTAATAATCTCTCAATGCCTTACAACTTGAACTGCATAAGAATCAAAATGAAACCGTATATGAAGATCAAAACAATGTGAAATCTTACACAGGAAGGCTAATAAAATGGTTCAGACGTCCAAAGGGAAGAGGTTGAAGATTAAAATCCAAGAAACATGCAATCCTAAGCAATCTAATGAAAAAGGAGTTTCAGCTTACAATACAAAAGATAATCTACTTTTCCTGTTTTACCTGTACAACTTTGGAATAGCCTTCAAATATAGATTTCAAGAACAAGGAAAAGTTGTAACCAAAGGTGAGTAACACGGATCAAGAATTGGCTTTATATAGTTAAATTAGGACAAGTAAATCCAAAATCACATGCACAAAACTATTGGTTTAATCGCAGATTCTTGGTGTACTATGCTGATTATTTTGGACGAATAATATTTTACTAAACGACATATGGGACCTGTCCAATGAATGTTGACACGGATGTGAGTCAGCATATACATTAGTTTGCGGATGGTAATGTTTAAACCCCCACAAACCTGTCAACGATATCAGGAAAGGAAACCAAGAGAATTTGACCACAATTCAAGTTTGCTCATGGGAATCCAAAGTTTACAATACATGGTAAGATTCAACTAGCGGCTCGACTATTCACGTTCTAAGCCCTTGTTGGATGGAGAATGTGTATTTAAAAATTAATGAAAAGTTTTGAATTTGCGTGTAATATTATTTTATTGAAGAATGTATAGTTGAAAATGAGTTTTGAAAAAATGAATTTTTAGAAGAATGAGAATTAAATGGGAGCTAAATGAGTCTATGAAAAGACTATTTTTCTAAGTCGAGATATTGACCGGCTAGTTTCTGACTTGAAATGAGAAATTAAGATTTTGCTTGTTTAATGACCGGGAGAAGGATTAATGAACAAATAGAAAAGTGGATGCCATGGAAAGGTTCCCACTCACTTTTTACATTGCCCTTTCTCAATCTTTTTTGACTAATAATAGTTTGGTTATGCAAAAATTTTGAACTTTATCTAGAAAGAATAAATTAAATTGCTTTTCTCGTGTTTTCATATTCAAGTAAATCTTTATAGAAAGTGTAGGATGCCTAAATTATTATTTGAGTTTTATCCTCGTACTATATAATCACTATTAGCGTATAGATCCAACAGAAAATTCTTGATTTAAATATCTAAAAACGGTTCAAATTTACAATTTGTTAGTTATAATCGAAAAGACCGTTTTGTTGTTGGTATTCAATTCTTCCTCGCCGATGTGTATACCGACGAGGGTAGGTGAGATTTGATTTGAGTATTATATATCATATTATATACAACTTGTTAGTTATAATCAAAACTAAATCCAAGAGTTTCAAAGCAAATTTCTATCCATTTTCCCCATGGCTGTCAGACTTGACATTTTCCAAAAGAACAAAAGTAACATTTTTCTTGTCCTACTGTCACGTGTGGTTTTCAGGTAATGTCTAGTTGTGGTTTTTAAACTGACTATTATTGTCGATTTCAATTTGATACTATCCAAAATCATTTTATAACCAAACCCATAGATCCAAGATTTAGCCTTGAAATTTACGTTAAATTAAAAACATAGATTAAGTTGATGACATGAAGATGTTAATGTTGGAATTAAATGGGTTTATAACCATCTTTGAGGGCAGTTTTAATTGGTTCCATGTCTAACTAACATATTAATTAGGTGGTAACTGTTCATCAAAATCCCGCAAGTGTACGGATCGTTGTATAAGTATAATCGTGATGAGAGAGTTATCGTGCCACAGGGAATAATACTCAATTTTAGTATATTTGATATATTTAAATTCGTGATTGTAACAAAATATTTTTGGTTGATAACTAACTATGTTTTATAACAAACACTTGTGAAATTAGTAACAATTGGTTTAAAAGTCAAATGTGGATAAATGTATTGGATTTCCGACTCCACTCATCAATTCTAAGTTCTAATTCTCAACCAATGATAATTAACTCAATTTATACAATTCTGACGATCGATAATTTATCTTTTATTTACTATTCTTTCCCAAGATATAATAAATTTATAATTATCATGAGACGATCCTATTCCTAGTTCGAATTCATATGACAAACATACATTGATGTTTAAAATTATCACACATGATCGCACACTGCATAAATACTATTCCAAATATTTATTGTCAGTGTGCTTCAATAACAGTGTTTTACCTATCCTGAGTTTTTTCAACACTACAAATAATCAATTTATTGCTCTAATGGTGTGCAAATATTAAAACAATGAGATTGTGCATATTAATGGAATAACAATGCAAAAATTATGATAAAAATATAAAGTTTCAAGTTAAAAGCAAAGAATTAAAGAGTTTTTATCATCCATCCAAAAGAAAGAATTTTAGTCTAGCATAATAATGTAAGAATTACACAGAAAACAAAAGAAATTCCGAATCATTAAACTATGAAGAAAATCTAAAAATCTTTAATTTAAGCTTTCGAATCCGGATCCAAGCTTTGAATTCTTCGTTCTTTAATGTATATTCTTTTCGTTTTCTCTCAAAAGTCAACTCTCAATGATAAAGATTAGATCTGGATGTGATCTCCAATTTATATGATACTAAGGAGGTTGCTTACAAAAATAAAATAGGAAATCTAAATTTTTTCGCCGTTTATCGTTGAGGCACGCACCTAGTGTAATCTAGGGTGTGTGCCTGGGAGCCTTGGGTGCCTCAGTCGCTCATTCTTTTTGTTTGGGGGTGCGCGCCTCTCCTGTAGGCTAAGGCCGGTGCATTGTCTAAGTTCCAACGGCCAATAGTTTTAAGTATTTTTGTCATAATTTTATCTCATAATATTCGATTGAGGTGATTCAAAGTACGTCGGAAAGCTTACTCAAAAGGACACAATTCTTTTAGAAATATCATTTTTCAAATTCGAATGTTTGCTATGCTAAAATTAGGTCTCACTTTGATAAAGAAAATCCAAAGCGTAATTTTTTATGTTGAAAGTTGATGTATAATAATATTTTTATTATAACTCATCCCTTTGAGTTCTTTTCTTATCCAATTGACCCCAAGTACTCTCAAATCTTCATCTTGAGGTCCAAAACAACTTTTGAGTATTTATATTTTAGTCCCCAATTTTGGATTTGCTTCATTTTAGCCCTTTTCCGTTCTTGCTTCCAATTCTTCGTCGAAACATGAATTTTTTTTAATAAAGGCAATAAATAACAAATTAGGTACTAATTCGTCCAAAGAATAACAAAATATCATCATTTAATATCCCCAATAAGTGTAGAAACTACCAAGTAACTAATCTTTGTAAATTGGAATAAGTCTTCAAAGTGCCTATATTGATAAACTTTTAATAAAGCTTTAATCTTTATGAGTCGGGGAGGGGAGGAGGGGGACAATTCGACATTGAAAAATAAGCTAGAACTGGACTAGCTTATACATTGGTTCAATTTAGTACATCTAATTTCTCGTGGTCGCTAATTTAAGGGTGCGGGTCCTTAAGTTGGTTAATAATATGGGTTCGCTCGAAATTACCTTTCATCACTATGTAAGTCTTAGTTGGTCAGATGATTGCCATAATGGCTTTTAACATTAACAAAAGTGCAGAGAATAGATAAAATACAGTCTTTATTTATATTTCTGTGTGATGCAGTTATTATCCCTGCACTGATGATAACACTGGATAAAATAAATAGGAACTTAGAAATAACAAGGAGTTGCAACAGCAATGAGAGGATTTTTTCTAGGAACTGTAAGAGCACGGACTTCAGACATGTCAATGTCCTCCCCTTTTGCTCCATCGGGCAGTTCCCAATCAAATTTGTGCACAAGGTTAGCTAATACAAGTTTAACAGTTTCCATAGCGAAACCAATCCCTGGACAGATCCTGCGGCCACCCCCAAATGGAATAAATTGGTAATGAAGTCCCTTAAAGTCTACTGAAGAATTAAAGAATCTGTCTGGCTCGAATTTTTCTGGGTCATCCCAGTATGCAGGATCTCTGCCAATAGCCCAAACGTTTATGATGACCACTGTTCCAGCTCCAATATCATATCCCATTATTTTCACATCTTGCCTCACTTCTCGGGGAATAAGTCCAACTGGAGGATGATAGCGAAGAGTTTCCTTAATCACCACTTTCTATTGGAGGAATTTTGTGAATAGTGACGCCAAAATAAATATAATGATGGTTTGTAAATTCGTGCCGAAAATTGGACAGAGTAACGGCAAAGAAAACACAAACAAGAAGAAGAAGAAAGTAGGGACAAAGCCGAGGCAAGAGTTGGACTCTTTGTCCTTAAGTCGAATTTGCCCCGCAACGGTGCCTACGGATTTCGGCAATCGACTCCCAAGATACAACGGCTACACTTGTGTTTGTAGCACTCCAAAACACAAGTACAACGAACCGAATTTAGGCTTATGTACTCCAAGGATGAAATGAAGGAAAATCAAAATAAATGAAATGATTTTGATTTTGGATAGAAGAGAGGATGAGAGATGTTTTGCATATCAAATTGTGAGGAATAGGACACCCAAAGGGTCCTATTTATAGACCATGAAAGGGTGTGGACGAAATGGTTGAGGCCAAACCATGTACCCTTTCCAAACAATGCACCTTTATGAAAAGGTGTCTATTCACCGGACAACCGTGCGGTCGCACGGTTTTACTCAAAAAATCGGAATTGAATTTGACGTGTGATCGCGCGGTTTACCAACCATGCGGTCGCACGGTCAAATATTTTGACCTGATTTTCGTTCTTTTTCGTAATTTCTCATTCATCCGATATTGGTTTTCGAAATGCCAAATATACCCTTCAATACATGCAGAGAAATCAAAATTCTCTTTCGGGGGCGTTGCCCCCTCGACCCCCACGACCTGACCGGGCAGGTCGATCCCCGTTTGTGCGCCACGAAGCGGCGAAGTGGCAAACAATTTTGCATAAACGGATCGAGTCGAGCTTTTGAGTATTTGGCCGAAGTCGATACGAAGTCACTTTAATCGATTTTCAATTCTCGATTTATTTAACCAATATCCAACACTTTCAAATAATTCATTTTCTCCAAGTCATCAAAGGTTATGTCCAGTTTCCCGTTAAGAATCTCTCTCACTTCAATTTTCAGTTTTTCATGACTTTAGGGTGTCTTAAGAGCTCTGTCATTGCCCACTTTAGAACTATCATCGTAGTTTCAGTTCCAGCACCAAATATATCCTGGAATAGTGAGAAAACATATGAAAAAATGAGCTTACGGGAATTAGTATCAGTAATAGATGTTTTATAGTAGTTTTGCCCATCCACATCAGTAAGCAGGGTATGTTTTTTTGTTTTATTTCAATTTCCCCAGAGAATCTGGTAGCAAAAGGAGGGAATCGGATGTTCTTACCTTAATTAATGCTTTGATACCATCCATGTCAATCGATGCTCCTGCAATATTATCATTGTAAATATTAAGTAAAACATCAAGAAAATATTCTCTATTAGTTTCATCCTTTGCTTCTTCCCCTCTTGAAGTTTTGAGACCATTGTCTAAATGTTCTTGAATCAGTTCATTCAGCGACTCATCCATTTGTTTAACCACCTTCCCTATTCTATAATTGAAACCACTCAGTCTGTTAGTCCATGAAAGCCATGGAACGAATTCCCCGATACTTAAATTAATCAGCATCTTTTGTCCTTCAGCTATAGCCATCAGAAATTTTTTCCCTAATTCATTTTCACTATGCTTTCTCCCGAAAGCTGATCTACAGAACACATCACTAGTAAGCGAAGTAAACATTTTGCTCAAGTTCACAGGTGACAAGGATAAAGAAGACTCCTTGGTCTTGTTCATCTGGAGGGCTATTTCTTCATACCTAATCACATTAAATGATTGGACTCTTTTGTAACTAAGAAGCTGGTGGACAAGGATTGTTTTTAACTGCCTCCAGTATTCTCCACAGGGGGAACTGATCAAGCTTTTCATGTTGTAGAAAATTTGCTTCACAATATCTACTCGAGGCCTATCTGCAAAATCAAGTTCATGCGTTTTCATGCATTCCCTAGCTGCATCTGCTGACGAGACTACAAGTACTGGGGTGCTGCCAAAGTGATGAAACATAAGTGGTCCATGTTTTTGAGCCAGCAGCCGAAGAGAGCGATGAGGCAATGAACCCAGTTGATGAAGATTTCCAATTATCGGGAGCTTTGGTGGTGATGGTGGGAAGTTTTTTCTAGCAATATTGGGCACGATGACTTTTTTTGTGAGAAACGATACGAAGAATAGAGTGAGTGAAGAGAAAAATAATGCATATCGGATCATTAATTCATCCATTTTCTGCATTTTGTATAAGGTTCTGGAATTTTTACTCGTCCTTTTATTCTGTTTATGGATATGCTTCATGCTGCAGTTATGAAACTAATAGGCTAAATGGTCCTAAAAATGCTTCAGTTATGAAACTATTAGGCTAAGTGGTCCTAAAAATTTCTTTTGCCTCGGGCATGATCTACTAGCTATGTGATAGTACTGTTAATGCATCTTTATTTGTCATCATTATTAGGAAAAACTGTTGGGAATCTACTTATCATGCGCAGTGGAAGTAAAAACGAATTTCAATTCCCACCAAGATTCAACTGTGTTTAGATAGGAATTGTGATAAAAATTATACATTTTTCTAGATCTGCAAACTCCTTTGCAATTCTTGCTTTGATTTTGTAAACTTGTTTGTTATTTCTTTGTTCCAGCAACCTTGATCTGTTTCCTACAGTTGTCCAATTGTCCACCCTCCAACGATGATCTACACAGAAAACAAGATTGTAGAATTATGTAGGTGCCAAAGAAGAATGAGAAGAAGCCCATATATATATATATATATATATATAAAAGAGAGTCAAACATATTATGCCATACTTATATATTTAAAAAAAAAAAAGGAGAGAGAGAGAGGGACAAAAAGAGAAAAAAAAAAAATAATAATAACAAATATATATATATATAAAAGGTTAGGCGTGGACGATACAAATCAAAACCCATTTTCATAGTACACGGGAAGCAGAGAACGAAAATGGAGAGAAAGAAAGAGAAAAGAGAAAGGCAAAAAAACAAAAAAAACAAAAAAAAAGGTAAGAAGAAGAAGAAAAAAAAATAAAGATTTTTTGTCAACGTGTTAGGAATTAAGTGATCTACATTATTAGGCTTGAATTCCTCAATTTTGAAAGGTAAGTAGAAAATTACTTATTGTCAAGTTATGTTTGATTTTATAATTGTTAGATTGTTAGATTAAATTCAATTTTATTGAAGAGATTAAGTATGCTAAACTATGAAATTGAGTAAGATGAAAGAAAAACTAGTTTTAGTGATTAAAGAGATTTTAGAAATCGCTCAAACGTGAAATAATTAAGTTTGGGTATCGCCTATTTAATTATTGAAATTATTTAAAATAATTTATTGTTTATTTAAAACTTATATCGTATTTCAGGCGACGATACTGACATCCAAACAGCTTATCAACTGGGTTGACTTTGCGAACATAGTACCGTGAGTGAAAAAATATAAATATTTTTAAAATATTTATAAATTAAGTATATTGTTAAATTATGTGCAATTATGTGTTCAAATTATATGGTTATTATGGAAATATCTTTTATTATGATACATATGGACTTTAAAGATTGTATACAGTACATTGTGAATTGAAATATAAGGTATGATTTTGAAATCGACCAGAAAAGTACCCTTGATTATATATTTCTTCTAGTTCACTGAGAGACCTTGGCCATGTTCTATACTATATTGAGGGGTCTTGGACCGTGGATGAAGGGGTCTCGACTGTGTTATAGTTCACTGAGGGGCCTTGGTCGTATTCTAGAATTAATTATGAGAGGTCATTGAAACCGACTTTCGTTCACGGAGGGGCTAAAGGCCCGTGACGAAAGTTTTTAGCCCGAGTGGCGGATTATATATTTTAGTCAGAGGGTACATTTTTGGTGAATTTTTCAGTACGTTTGATGTGAAGAGATTATAGCATGGTTATCAGCTGATATTTATATCATGATTTTAAGATGTTATTTTACGACCTTACGTGAATATTTCACTTTTTATTATAATTACATGATGTTATCTTGTGAATTATTAAATGATATGAACTCGATTTTCGATAAAAATGTAAAAATGAAAAAGTATAATTATTTTCGAACTTCTCCACTCACTGAGCTATCAACTCATATATTTTTTCGTAATTTTCCTACAGATGGAAATTGATCCTTCTTAGCTGAAAGAGTCTAATGATTTCGGAATAAAAGCCACACGACATATTGAATATTATAACTCATATTGATGAAGCATGAAATAAATTATTTTGGGCCCATCGCATCATGTTTAACATAAGCATTTGATTTTGTTGCATTATTTTGAAATAATTCATAGTCAACCCTGCCTTGGTGATAGATTTCACATCTACTCAGCATCTATTATCGGCGCACGTCACATTTCGGATCCATTAGGGTGATTCGAGATGGGTCGTGTCAAATTATGGTTTTGTTCTTGTGCTTGCAAGAATGATTTCTCTACAGATTTTGAAAACACTAGTCATATTTATATAAGTGCAAACGGGTTTGGCCTGATCTAATCCAATATTTAATTAACCCATTTAATTAAATTCAGTCCATGAATTAATAAATCCAATTAATTAATTCGGGCCTATAAATAAGTAATCCAATTAATTAATTTATACAACGCTTGTTAAATTAATCAATTGATGAATTACAATCTTCTAATTCTCTTTTTATTTGTGACCCATCAGGTTCCCTATCACGATGCCTAACGACGTAATATATTATTTTGATCTAATCAAAATTAACAAATTAAAACACTCTTTTAATTTATCACCAATTCACACTAGTCGTCAAATTGACATCTAGCAATATGTAAGGGAAATACATGTGACGGAAAATATCATGTGGTATAACAAAATCAAATTTGTTCGTTTACCGTGAAACTATAATATTTTCGTCAATATGATCCAATTAATTATGAGATATGGAAGTGTGCCAATCCTGATTATCGATCATATCTTTCATACCACTATTAAGTCAATATAAGTCGAACATTCTTTTTTGACTTTTGAGTACACATTGGCCAAGTATTTTGCTATCAACTTAATTGAATGATATGCAGATCATAATCTCTTACTACTTAAGAGTGACGAATTCTGTATTGGTCATTCACAACCTTTATACGATTCTTGACATACCCGAACGATGTCGTATTAGCGGCCCTTGGCAAATGAACATTCAACATCGTCAAAGCATAATTGCCCTCATATAAGACATTATGACGACTTCAAATCAAAGGACCAATTTCACTACGTAACGTTAGAGATTAACTACAGACTCTCAGATAGTTATCCATGTGGAATCTCTCGGCGGGTCTCCAATGTTTTGTTCTATAACAAAACATCCACGTATTCATTCAAATGTCACCACATTAAAGCTTGTGAGATCAGCTACTTACTTCACAAGTAAGAAGTTCCACACATGATGGTCTATCCGTAATTACGATATCCGTATCTCAGCCTTACTTACGACCACGGATGATTTAAGATTCAATCATATGTAATTTGTATCTCACAATCACAACTCCTTGTGATTAACAAATTACTAAGATTTGAATCTACGGATTCCATTATTTAATTCAATTGAATATTAATTAATTAAATAATAGATCTACCATAAATCGCATCAACTATTTATTAAAATGTGTTTATGTCCTAAATCGATTGGACTTAGGGCATAACACTTACATGTATATCATCAAACGAAACGTAGAAGCTAACATTATTCAGGACGAGCATGTTAATAAAAATTGCTATCTTAAAGCTGTCGGTGTACATTTTGGTCGACACAATCTTTGAGTCCCTAACTTATAGGATAAATACCGTTTTTTCCAAATGTTAGAAAATCTGAATTTGTTTCTGTGGGATCTCTCTCTTTCACTGTTTGCCTTCCACTAACAGCCATTGACAATCTAAACCAGTATCTAAGTACACTCCCAACTGTAGAGGAGGGTCTCTTGTGTGCAGAAGTGTACAGTCAATGGGGGAACCTGTGATCCAGTTGAGGCATATCCCGCGATTTACCCCCTCCAAGGTTCTAGGGGCATGAGTCTTGGAGGTCCAGGATTTAGTCTGGTGTAAGTTGTGATACCTGGATATCCAAAAAAAAAAAGAAGTACACTCCCGACTTAAAAACACTTAAAAAAAACACGAAAGGGCGTAAAATCTGTCAATGATATTATTTTGTGACGTGTGCTAGCTAAATATGCTTGCCAGCACTAAATATAAATGCAGTTTAATACAAGCATTAACTAAATCAACAACCTAAAGTTGAACACAAATAAATGTTTAAGCAATTTGTCTTCACCCCTGTTATTAGATTGAATATAGGGGGTGGGCGTGGGGTTTTAAAGTGACACGAGCCCCTCGCTAGCTCATGCTGCCGGCTTGCCTCAAGCGCAAGCCAAGCAACAAAAGCACCTCACACGAGTTGGCTTGCAAGTCGAGCGAGCGTCTTGTCATAATAAGTGAAAAATGAATTTTACCGAAAATTGGCGAGCTGCGAGCTAACTCGCCTCATGGACTGATCCTATCATTAACACACCTAGCTGTACCTCAAATGCCAAACTTTTTTGTCCAAGTGGTTCATTCATCTAAATAGGCATTCCTAGCTAGCTACCAAACTATACTAACCTCTAAAAGAGTGCTTGATTTACTGATAGAGAGAGAATAGACAATTTATTTGACTTATGACACCGTCGAATTATATGTAACTCAAATTCAAAAAGGGAAGATAAATATGAAGAAATTTTCTGCGTTTGTTGAACACTAAATTTAAACAAATAAATATGTATTTTATTTATAAGATTAAATTTTTAGATAAAATGTTCAACATAGTATCAAACAAAAATTATGAGTTCACATCTGGCTTCTTGCATTCAAAAAATTGTGCAGAATCAACAGTCATGGAGCTTATGGACTCACTAGATATTGGATATTTTATCTTATTATTTCTTGGGGAATTTACAAAAATGTCACGAAAAATGAAAGTTTCAAAAAATTTGTCATTTTCAATTTATATGAGCAAAAATGTCACTTTTTTAGGGTGAAAAGTCCATATTACCCTTAATGACACATTTTTAGTAGCATTTAATGCTTGATTTGAAGGAAAAGTATTGATTTGATGTGATGATTTAATTTTTGTATAGAAAACATGGATAAATGTGTATTTTATTGAATAATATGAATATTTGTTAATAAAAAAGGGTAAAAGAAATTTTAA